CTGTAATTCCCCAGATTGTTCCATCTCTGAAGAGGAGTCAACACTGGCTTTGCTTTGGTTGTTGGTGCCTCCTCCAGTCTCCATGACCTGTCAGAACTGAAGGGAGAGCAGCCTTGCCAGGATGTTGGAGAGCTCCCTCAGCACGCTTGTGTGTAGCCCAACTGGTCTCAGGGGTGTGAGTAGGTTGAGGGCTCACTTGAAAGCCACCAGATACCCTAGCCTCTGTCATTAAATCACTGCCCTGCATCCCACAGCTGGTCCAAATATGCTGTTTAACCTCCACTGGCTGAAAGCAACTAGTGACAAGTGCTGAACCACTAACTGTAGCATCTCAGAGCTATGTAGACTATTTTGATATGTTATCATTCTGTTCCACCATGACTATCACTTCTCAGTGTTTTCTACTCTTAACATACTTCTAATTTTTTGAGAGACTGTTCCAGTCTGTGTCATCCATCTTCAAACAATGAAAGGTAGCCTTGTGGAGGATTTTCCCTCTCATTAAAAAAAAAACAACATGTGTGACTATTTTTAATGCTAGAAAAATGCTTAGTTGGTGGAGTTTTTTCATGGTTTTATGCAAATTAACTGAAGTACATGGATTATACAGCTGAGCTGCCAGTCTACATGTTTTAATATTTTCTGAGTGTTCTTCAGGCTACTAGTAAAAATTCAGCCTTCAAAGGTCAAGAGGGGTGAGAGCTCACTATACTGGCTGCAGATTTTGATACATTCACAGGTACAAGAAATACGACTTCAAAATACACAAAACTTTAGTGGTATATAGTTCAATACTGGTTTAGTTAGACCTGAAGAATATTGAGCTTGTGTGGGCTTTGAGGTTTTTGGGACTGTATCCCCACAAAGATAGATAAGAGACATTTAGGAATGACTCCTTTTTCCCCAGAGTATTTATTTTAAGAATTCTGATGAAAACTGTATTTGACAGTTGCAGCTGAGGGTTTAATTTAAAGGAAAACACTGGATTTTTAAAATTATTCTCTGTCAGATAAATAGCAGCCATGCAAAAGCAATTAAGAGGGTTTGAGATTCTGAATTTACTGAAAAATTAACTAAGAAATAGCTACCAAATTGTGAAACAAAGTCACCCCTTAGATACAAGATCTAATCCATTCTCTAGGTCCCACTTTCTCTTCAATAGTTTCTCCCCTTCCACAGAGGTATTGCAACCTAGAGCTATGCTGAAATACAGAACAAATTATTCTGCTTATCCTTCCCCTAAATAAATCAGTGAATATGCATCTTAGTTATGTAACAATGCAGAAGTGACTGTACTCAATTTAAAACATTTGTTTGATTGCTTTTTATGAAAAGTCCTTTAGAATCTAAGAAATATATTTTAAGTGTTGTGTTAAAATAATTAAAACTATTTCCAAATGATAGAATTTAAACTACATTCCTGACCGAAATTTATATTTTATCCTGAATGTCAGTCCATAAATGTAGCAAAATTATAAATGTGATATATGTAGTAGTTCTTATTTTGAATTGTAGTTCAAAAAGGAAAAATGTGTTTGCAAATTTTAATGATTAGGAAGTACTTAGTAAATTTCAGCTGCTGAAAGAAACCTCACTTAGTTTCCCTGTGTGTCTGAATCACTGTATCATTTTAGAAAGATTTTTAGATTCAGCGTAGACTGAAGAATAAAGCTGGGCAGATAATCCACAGAAAGGATTCTCCTGTCTATATACATAATCAAAGGGGATTTGCACTATTTTCAGTCTAGATATTACTGGGACATAGGGGAAGGAAAGCTGGGGACAGGAGGAAGACAGCCTTCAGGACCAAAGCAACTAAGTAAGTATCCTTTCCTGAGTAGGATCTGTAACCCTATCTGAAAGTAAGTTTTACTGAAACTTCACTTCTTGTTCCTTTGTCACCTGAAATAATGTTTGGCAAGGTCTGCTGGCATTTCTTTCAAATGTGCCCTCATTTCCCAGCAGATCATGGAAGGAGGAGAAAAGGAGGCAGGAGACTGTGAACCAAGGAGGCAAGGCCGGGAAAAGTCTTGTTTGCTAAGGAAGGAGAAAGCCCATGAGACTGAAAATTACTGAGGAAGAGACCATTTTTTTCTCTGTGCCCTCAGGTGCAGTGGGTAACCAGGTAGAAAAGGTTAAAAAGCAGAAACAGCAAAATGCTTTAACTAGTTCCTGTGAAAACAAAAAGTTTCTCCCTGGCCCTTCTAGTTTTGGTCATTTGAAAACAACAAGAGGTCTCCGAAAGTCAGTTGCTCTAGGGAGCAGGCATGGGAGTGGGGACATTATCTCAGTTATCAAACATCCTGTTTGCTGAGTTTCCCGGAATGACAGCTATTCAAATTAAATTAAGCAGGGAGGGAGGAAGGAAGAGACAGAGGGTGGTGTGTGGTGCTTGTGTTTTACCTTCTAGCAGAAATCCTTGAAGATGTACATGAGTTGTATAGTCTGGATATTTCATCTTTCTGAACTTTTTTAAGATTCATTGCTCTCTGACTGTTGTTAAGGATTTATGTATCTCACAGGGAACAGCTGCTCAGTGCTACAGTGCCACATTCATGGCAGAAAGAATAAATGCTTCTGGTCTCACTGCCCCAGAGTAGGTTCACCTGGATTCCAGTGTAAAAGCAAATCCCCTCTGCTCTTTGGGGCCCCTATAGCAGTAGCAATGGAACGTGTCAGGATGCAAGGCCTTACAAGTGTGTGACATGATAGTTCTTAAGAGCATCTCCTTGCTGTGCATGCCTAGCATGGACATGCCATGCAGTTAGCTATAACAGCAGTGTTTGGCCCAGAATAAATGAACCTGCTGGGCTCACTTGGGACTAAGAGCCCCATGCAGGCAGGAGGGCATCTGGCCTGGCCAGCAAGAGTTGGTGTATCGCTAACAACTGGTTTGCTGATTTTTGCAAAAAGACCTATCTGCCTTAAACTTGAAAAGGTAGAAAGGGTGGCTGGGATTAACTCAAAGTCAAGGGTGACATCATTTCAACTGCTGCTTGTAGACAAGGTATTACAACATCATCCTAATAATCTAGTGGTTCAAAAAGGTAATTAAGTTTTAACTGCCTGGTGCAAGCAACACTTAATTAACATCATTCTGACATTAAGTGGGATTAAAAGCATTACTTACAGACAGGTGATGTGCACTCTTCCGGTATGTTTTCCATAATAAACTCATTTCACATCAACACTGGGAAATCCCTTTCCAGAATCACTAATGCAGTTCAGCTGGTGCCAATATGCACTAAAGACTCACCAGTAACTGTTGATTCTAAACCACAGCTTTCACTTTCCCTATCACACACCAGTTAGTAGAATATACTTTGAAGCTATACAACCATTTCTGCTCCCTACCCCCACATGTAGCAAAGGCAAGTTGGTTGAAAGGAAGAGAGATAAAGAATTTTGATGTAGACAAGCTAATGCCATTAAAGTTAGTGGAGAATTTAGTAAGTAAACATCTTCTGCTAAAGGATTTCTGAAATACTGCTTGTTTGAATTAAGAGAATTAAGGCAGGGTTAAGTCCCTGGGGAAAGAAAAAAAAAGAAAAAAAGAAAAAAGGGAAGAAAGGAAGATAGGTGAGATTAGTATGATTTCATAGTACAGAACAGGAGACCATTACTTGTATGTCACTAGATCTCCCAGTATGCCTACGTTCCCAAATACAAAGCAAATTATTTTTAAAAGGTATAGTTAGACCAGTATCTGCCAGAGGAAGTTCCAACATTCTGTCTTGGGAGTATGTAACATGGATTTTAACAGGTGTCATCTGCTCAGGGCCTATCATGATGTGTTTTTCCTAGCTCAATTTTTTCTATATAATCTTTTTTCCCTACACACCTCAGGTTATGGGGGGGCAACAATGTATTTTTAAATATGTTAGTTGTGTTCTTAACTTTTTCTTATCAAGTTCTATTACAGCTATAGAGGACAAACTAAAATGAACACTGGTAAATCCTAGAAGCCAACCATGTTAAGACCCCAAAAGCAAAGCTCAGTTTCAGAGCCACAGAGTTTAAATGAGGGCTCCGAGCAAAATATTTCCCTGTCTGAAGATACTGAAATGTAAAGCAAAGCAAGTGATACCATAATGCAAAGGATCTGTATGAGGTTAGTGGCTGACCTAGAAAAGAGGGGGGAAAAAAAAAAAGAGAACATGCCCCCCCAACTGTTATTTGTATGCAAAGAGTAAGAAACTGACACATTTCCATTATAAAATAGAAAAACTCAGGATACGTATGAGGAAAATAACTTGATAAATCCACTAAGTTTATATTCTTGAAAACCGAGTAAGAATATCTGGAAAAAGTTGAGTGTCTTGAAATGGAATTAAGAACATAACTTAAGGGTATTGCCTTTTTAGGTCTGCTTTCTAAGGCACCTGGAGGCCTTGCCTGCCAGATGCGGGTTACTGTTAATTTATCACCAAAAAAGCCAAAGGGTGGGGAAGACATGGTATTTCCCTTCACTGCCTCAGTTCACAGGCTTTAATTCCCTGTTTATGCATCATAGAAGAGCCTCTGAATACTCTCTAAACAGGTTTCATGTGGGTTTTCATGTGTTAGGGGGTTGGCAAGAACAGGCTCTACTTCAGCCTAAATTGCTTGCCCTTCTAGCTGTTTGCGTGATCAAGAGTAAGCAGTTCATTATGTTAATGTCTAAGTACTGGGGCACACCTTAGAGAAACTTCAAAACTACCTTTGTAAGAAACACATACTGCCATCACAGCAACAGTTCAAGAAACAAAAAATGTAGTCTGTTTTGCCATTTGCTAGTGCCTGTAATAAATTCTTCTGTCACCTCAGGAGTAACATGAGACACCTGACAGTAACCATGCATGACAAACCTGACTTGATATGGAAAGAAATAGTATCATCCTTCAGTGTCCTGTTCTCTCATCACCATGCTTCTGTGTCACATTGCAGCAGCTAAACCAAGCAGAGACCTAACCTGGAACAAAACTCATCCAGATTTCCTCCTTTCTCTTCTACAAAAAAAAAGCAAATAAATAAAAGTCAGCTGCACCAGCTAAACCTAAACAAGCATAGACACATGAACATATGAAGGAAGGGTAGGACTTAGCTGCAGCTTCAGATGGGTATGGCAACCTACAGTAAAAACACTTTAGGACTTCATCATTAGGACTTTTTGGTGGTGCTTTTAGAAGGACTTTAATTGTAGGAAGAGGTGATATCATTTAGAAAAATAACTTTATTTTTGCATACTCAATGTTAAACGAATCTGGAATGCAAATTGAGCAGCTTGACAGAAAGCAGAAACCATCAGTTCCATCAGTGACATTTAGACACTACTGCAGTTCTCTCAAGTTTTTGAGAAACTTGAGTCATTTTGGATCCAAAAGCAAGACTTCTGATACAGTAAAAAGTGTAACATTACAAGTCTAACCCTCATCAGGCACAAAACTGAAGTTTCCCTGAGAAGACATAATTACAAACTAGTGTATAAACTTTATATCACATTATCAGAGGGGTTTAAGAGTACAAAACCAAGATTTGGCTACAAAAATTTAAACACAAGTCCTTAATACTCCATGCTGAAGATGAAATATTCAGGAGGATTAAGAATTACGTATTACAGAACTACAGCAGTCAGATTTAAGTTAAATGATGACAGCTGGCTTTGGTAAATTCCCTTTTGTAGAGTTTTCAGATCATTTCTAATGTTATTTTCCTGAGATCTTTCAGTACTCTGTAGGAAGTCTGTGCAGTCCAGCTGCTTCTTTCCTCCCTCCACCGACCCCTGACCCCCCTTATCTTTTCCTTCCAGCTAGCATTATATTCATGGGGAAAAAAAAAAAAAGAGGAATAACCATGAACAACATGCATTTTCCAAGCCTTAAAACAAATAATTTAGCCAAAGGAAGTCCATTCCACTTTTTAGATAATAAATATTCCAAATAGTTGGCCTTGAAAAATTGCTGTCTTCAATTTTGCACCCAAAGTTCCAAGCTTCAGTGTGTCACACAAGGCATCCCCATCTTCACTTGAGAGCTGTCTTCTCTCCCCCTTGTCCATAAACAAGGCAGGGAGGGCATCATCATCACAATGCTAAAATGTTGAGAACCATTACACATCATCAACATCACCATGACTGGTGTTACATCTTAAAAAAAAGAGTACATATCTGTATACTATATGTACCTATATTTTGTTAACACAAATATGCAGTATTTCAGTTCTTTTGCAGATACAAAGCTTTGTGTCGCAAATACTCTTCCAGACATTTCACTGCAAAAGGGTCAACATCAATGTCAAACTTATTAGCAAAGAAGTGGTGGTTTCGTAGCATCCAGTTCAGGTCTCCTACCCCAAAAACACAGACAGAGCGAACATGAACTCCACTGCATGGCGGGTAGGGTGCACCTTTGGACATGTCACCTTCAAAGTACTGCCACTTGACAAACCTGGCCAGTGCATTCATGTCAGAAACATCATACTTGTCACTAGAAGAAACTGCACCTGGAACTTCAGGAATTCTCTGAATTGTTGCCCACAGGTACTCATCTGGGCTGTAAGTGTCTTTTGCCCACTCAATAAACTTAAGTATTTTGTTGCTTTCTAATACATATTCTACAAATCTTCTGCTTACTACAAAATAGGCACTACCAGAAAAAATTGGAGTACTGAGAGGTGGTAGTTGTTTGTCTATGCCCATGTTCTTTATTTTACCATCAATAACCTCATGGTGTTTTTTCCACCTTACTTCTTTATAAACGGGCATTTTTTCTGTTTCCAAGCTGTTTTCGCCTTTAAGGGCTTTTAATTTCTCTACCATTTCCTGGTTGGTCTTTATAGGAAAGTCCATGCCACAGAGGTTTATTAGATATTTCCAGTTTGAACTTCTTCTGTAGAGATCTTTCATGCAGTTAATATCTGCCTGCACCCGGCTCCATGAAGCATATACAACACTCTCTAACTGGCTGGAAATAAAGACGTTATCGAAACATGAGACTATGCCCTGCACAGCAGCAAAAAAAGATTCTGGAGACTTTTTGTCAACATGAATGCAGTAAAAATTCTGAGGGGCGTAGATTGATCTTAGGAGTCTATCAAGCATTTCAATTTTGTGATAAACCACTATTGAGTAAGCAATTGGAAATTCTGCTTCTTCATTGCTGAGAGGTTCCATAATGTATTTCCTAGTCTTGGTGAAGGAGGCACAGTCTGCTGTCATGTTAATATAATCAGTTGTTGTTAGTCTGGGGCGTTTCTTAAATGACACTGACAATGTCTCAAGCTTTACCTTTTCAATCTCTTCTATATCCCCCTCTATAATCTTGGTGCAGTTAACATTGCCAATAGGATCTTCTTTTGTCAGCTCTAGGTGTCTCCGATTTAAGAAGTCTTGTTTTTGGTTAACTTTCAAAACCGAAACAATTACTAAAATAAGAGTTAGACCCAAGAAAAGCCTGAAGCGTGAGTTGTGGCAAAATCGTAATTTCCTCTTCAGCATTTCAAATGACAGGTAGCTTTTCAGGACTAAAAAAAATGCACTCCACTCTGCTCATATCAGCTTCAACAACTTCAGAAAAAAACAGTCCGTGTTTCTCAGGAATTCGGTGAGTTTTGTCAGGGACATGGAAGGAAAAATCCTAAAATAAAATGAAATATGACTGTCATTCAAAGACTAAGAGGTTTCTCTAAAAAGGTATATTTTAGTAATGACATTGTTATTTAGGGACAGTAAAAAGGTGACTGCTTCAGTCAAAAATACTCTGTTGCAAATTAGAAATTAATGACTAAAATTAGTTTTAGAAAAAGATTGGGGGAGTCAGTTTTCATGAGATGCTATTTCCATAGTACTAAGACTACAAACCAAAGTTCAGTAAGAAAACAGAGCTGATTCAACTACCTCTGACAGAATTAAAGCCGGTAAACCAGATACATTACTGAGAAACAAGTATTTGATGTTAATTCATGGTTCAGAGTTTGACAAGAATGTTTTATACTCACTTCAGCGTTGACATGGGTTTCCTTATAACTTACCTCTCACTTCCTGGATGCTAGACACACTTTTATCTTTTCACTGGGAAAGCAGTCTCTGAAGCCTTTCATGGTTTTTCTGTGAGATATAGTCTCTTCAACATCCTGGAGGTTAGCTTAGAAATATCATCAGAAAAGAGCTAAGGAGAAGGGGAGAAATTAAAACAGCATAGCTCCTCAACTTTCAAAGTTGTGAGAACAGCTGTTGCTGAATTACTGAAGCACCTGTTTACTTATGAAGCAATACTTATGGCCTATCTCTAAAGCTGATTCTAAAGCTGATTTGTGTTGTCACTGCAAATGAACAAATCCAAGAGCAGTGTTGTGTTACCACTTATTCAACACACTTGTTTTTCATTCAGCGGTTGCTTTTATATGGAAATATGCTTCCAGGCTGAGTTTCAACAAGAGTTAGAATATGCCAATCTTATTAGCATCTTTATTTCACAGGCACTATATTTTTGGTTTGTTAGTCCTGTTTTACCTTAAGCACCTTTTATCTATTTCAGTACTCTGTGAAGGGATCACTGCATAGTTATGTAGCTGCTATAGCTGTAGCTGTTGAGAAAACGGCAGTCTAGAACTGGATTACAGATCTGGTTGTCTTTTTCTTGTAAATACTACCTCATGCAGGTAAACTGATCAAGAATGCAATATCCTAAAACAACCTACATTGCCACTCAAATGCCATTTGTCCTCACAAATTCATTGCCTAATAATTCAGCACAGGTCTGAATTTCAAACCAACCTCTAATTGTAAAAAAATTACAGTTTATAGAGAATGTCTTCTAAAATTCCAATCTGTAAATTAAAATGTTAACGACATATTGTAAGTATTTGAGAGATATACAGCTTATTTCATTTTTACTACTTTTAAGAAAAATTTAGTGCCTCTGAATAACTTTCTGAACAGCTGTTAACTGCTACCCCAAAAAACTGGTAAGATTTGTTTAAGAAAAAGAAGCGTGCACTGTGTTCACTTCTGGATTGTGCTGTAGGCTGTTCAGCATAAGATTTTATTCTCCCTGGCCCTCCCCCACCCCCTTTTCTTTAAGGTACACCAGTATCATTTTCATTCTCAAACTGTGGCTTTTAACCTGCTACTTGCAAATCTCAGAATAGGTGCATGTGAGAAATTGAGGGCTGGCATCACAGTTTTTTGGTAGTAATGCTGCCACTGGTTGCACTACACATTGGGTCCACTCCACATGTTGTAGGGGGGGGGGGCCATCACTGCATGAATGTCTAGCACAGCTATAAGGTTCAGCAGTATTTTAAGGAAGTACTGTAACCAAATATGTTGTAATTCAAATCAGAGACCAGAATTCAAGGCAGAGACCACAAACTATTTGTGACTAACAGCATTAGATAAACATCTTATTTACTATAAAGTATACTTTATTTTCAGAGTTACACCTGTAATGATTTTATCCTGCATTTCTGATTTATCTTAGGGAGGAGGACATTTGTTCCAAGTCTGGTTTAGGTGTATAGTGAAGTCAAACTGGAAGAAATAAAATTTTAACCCTGAAGTAGCCAGTAGCCAACTGAACTAGTGTGCAATTACAGCAGAAAAATATATAGAGGTACATTTTAAATATCAGATCTCACACTTGGAATTTAAATTTTTAAAATTTAAAAAGGGAAATTTCACACTACTTTGAATTTGCAATGTGGCATCAAACACTATGACATTATTTAGGGCAAATTTTAACATGCTTTATAACTTACAACATGCTTGCTTACTAGATGTCCTCCTATTTTTTTTACTAGTAGATCTGTTCCAATAAATATAATATCCATCACATATAAAATTAACAAAGGGAGGATACTTGCTATGTGATAATCTCCATAATCACTATCAAGTATATATTTCCACAGGATGAAGACTGTAATACTGGTTATCCTTAAATTACTGTTTTCTGTCTACCAACTTAGAAATTAAGACTTTTCTAGAATTCAAAATGTACTTTGAATACACTTATATTTGTGAAGGTTAGAAGACAGAAGCTGGAATCCTTCTTTCTTTAGGATGAGAGTTAGCACTACTATTTTATTCTATTCTCAGTTTTTTATAGGAGCACTAGCACTGTGGAGTAACATACACTCCAAGAGGATGGCCACCATCTCCCTATTCTTTAGAATGCAGGGAGGCAGAGCCTTAACCGAAAGATACCATTGTGATCTTCCCCTTCTACAATTTCCAAACAATAAAGCCTGCTAAGAAGTCTTTCCTGCTCCTGTTTTAGAATAAAAGTTAGTTGAAAGCAGGGTAAAGAATCTCTTTCAGAAAGGCCTTGTATACCCAGCTGGATACAATTTTTCTTATGTTTTGAGCTCAGAATAATCAGACCTTGCATTTCCATTATACCAAAATGAGAGATCTGCAAACATTTACATGTTAACAAGGCTCTTACTCTTATCTTTAGGTGAAGGTTTTTCCCCACAGTCAAATTTCTCCCACTGACATGCTGATTCCTATAAACAGTCTTAACAATAAATTGTTTATGCTTGCAATTCCTTTTTAGAAAAGTCCTAAAACTTGATCATATCCCATTCTTCACAAAAGCTGACCTTTTAAAGATAAGGAAAGACTCAGTATCTTTCCTCTAATAATATACCTGGGTTTTGTTTTATAAAGTTTGACAAGTCTAGAATACTCATAAACATAGCTTCAGACTGCATTCAGTAAAGATTTTAACATCTTTTTCTCAAGCTCTGTGTAGCTTTAGTGTGCACACTAGAAAATGCGGTGTCCAAGACAGCACTTTGCACTGTGGTAGAGCAGGAGGGAAGTTTGTACAGCCACAGATAAAAGACTACATGCTGCAGCCTTGGTCTTGCTCTCAACTGAAGTTCAGCTGCAGAAGTTATGTACTTGACCCACTTCCTTCTTTTACTGCCTCCTCCTCAAGTGAGAGACTGTATTTCTGATGCAGCAGTTATTAAAAGAGGAAACATTTGGAGGAGTTAGTACAAAGGCTGAGTTAGCCACCTGCTTCCCTCTTTCCTGCCAAAGTTATTCTTCACTGTTGTATACACAGAATCATCTAGGTTGGAAAAGACCTTGAAGATCATCCAGTCCAACCATTAACCTAACACTGACAGTTCCCAACTACACCAGATCCCTCAGCGCTATGTCAACCCAACTCTTAAACACCTCCAGGGATGGGGACTCCAACACTGCCCTGGGCAGCCCATTCCAACGCCCAACAACCCCTTCTGGAAAGAAATGCTTCCTAATATCCAGTCTAAACCTTCCCTGGCACAACTTGAGGCCATTACCTCTTGTCCTGTCACTTGTTACTTTGTTCAAGAGACTCATCCCCAGCTCTCTGCAACCTCCTTTCAGGTAGCTGTAGAGGGAGATGAGGTGTATATATAATATATAATATATAATATATAATATATAATATATAATATATAATATATAATATATAATATATAATATATAATATATAATATATAATATA